ATTGATACATTTTACTTTTCCATATTAACTTGTTTATCAAATACAGTCATGTAATTCATTTCGAAACACTAACTATTATATAGTTGGATAGTATTTCAAATTAAAATCAATGGATTTCATGTGATTCTCTTACAAATGCTGCATTTATCAAAATAGAGTAGTGTCTAACAGTGAAACCTAAGAAGCGCATTTCATTCTATTCGGAACTTCCAAACTGTATGTATTTGCATCTCATTGTTGATGTTCATAGTGAAACCCAAACCTAGTACCTTATATTCCGAAAACTAACAGGTTTTCCTCCGATATACTGAGCCCGGATAGTTAATATCTTGTTCAAGCAGATATGAATTTGACATGAAAGAATTTATATTTTACTTTGCAGCTGACAGATGCATTCCAAGTAAGGACCGGAGTCAGACAAGGTTGTCTAATCTCCCCCTTCCTCTTTCTTCTGGTGGTCGACTGGATTATGAAGACCTCAACATCTGAGGGAAGACACGGCATTCAATGGATAGCTCAGAACTAATTAGACGATTTGAACTTCGCACATGACCTAGCCCTCCTATCGCATACACACGAACAAATGCAGGTGAAGACAACTAGTGTAGCAACAGTCTCTGCATCAGTAGGTCTCAACATACACAAGGGCAAACCAAGGTCCTCAAATACAACACGGAGAACATCAATCCAATCACACTTGATAGCGAAACTCTGGAAGATGTAGAATCCTTCACATACCTGGGAAGCATCATAGATGAACAAGGAGGATCAGATGCAGATGTAAAGGAGAGGGTTGGCAAAACAAGGATAGCATTCCTACAATTGAAGAACATATGGAACTCAAAACAACTTTCAACCAATATCAAAGTGAGAATCTTCAATACGAACGTCAAGACAGTTAGTTCTTTTGTACGAAGCTGAAACTTGGAGAACTAATACAACCATCATTCGGAAGGTGGAAGTATTTATAAATAGTTGTCTACGCAAGATACTCAACATCCATTGGCCAAACACCATCGGCAACACCATTCTGTGAGAGAGAACAAACCAGCTTCCAACTGAAAAGGAAATTAGGAAAGGACGATGGAAATGGATAGAACATACATTACGTAAATCATCAAACTGCATCACGAGACAAGCCCTAACTCGGGATCCTGAAGGGAAGTGGAAAAGAGGAAGGCCAAAAGACACATTACGTCTCAAATAGAAGCAGATGTGAAAAGGATGAATAACAACTGGAAAGATCTGGAAAGGATCGCCCAGGACAGGGTTGGATGGCGAGTGCTGTTGGGTGGCCTTTCCTCCTCCACTGGGAGTAACAGGCGTAAGTAAGTTTGAAAATCATCTGTGTTTATCAGTTCACTTTAAAAAATGATAACGAATAATGAAATGGGTCATTCCAAGTTGCATACTAAACAATAATTGAAATTTTACACCCAGAAACACATTAGCTTAGTCAAATATCGTATATCATGCAGTCAAAACATTTTCATGACAACCTAGTGAGTCATATTTGCTAAAATAATCACTTCAAACATATAACAATCATTTCTGTTGATAAAATACCTTTGCAATAAACTAATTGCTTTCAGGATACTTTAATATTTTACAGTTATTGAATTAATGTTGGAGTTTGACCCAACCCAATATTATGACCTAATGACTTTGGCATAGTAACAATTGTCATTGTAACCTTTTATATTTCTATACTATTTTGACCCATGTAATTTTACACCAGGACGTAATTCATATCTATTTCTATTGGTTATTTTGTCTTGTACAATATCATGTATACGTTGTAGAATAAATAGATGTATACCTAGCAGTGAAATCCAGAATGAGGGTTTCCATCTTACTTTGATCTCGTCAAGTATATCCAACTGACGAGTATCAAAGAGGATTCCACTGTTAGCCTAAAATCCATCTATTCCACACAAAAAAAAACTTGTGAAAAATGACTATATCAAAGTAATTTCCATAGGATACACATATGCCATCAAAGGCTGATCAAAATTTAGTTGATATTGTGAACGATAAGGTCATTCAGATCGTTTCTAATAATGATATATGTACACTGATATTTTCTTTTCTCTCTCTCTCTCTGTGTGTGTATGTCGTTTCTTAAGTCGGAAATGTGTATTAATCATTCAATCTATTTAGTTTCAGTAGATGTATTGGATATTAGAATTATTTCCCAGTCCATATTTTTGTTTAGACCCCAATGAACTAACAATAACTAGGCATAATTATGTTTTCTTTCAAAGCATACACTGATGTAACTTATTCAGTTCAGTATTCATTCATCTAAAACACAAGTATCATTATTATTTACCATTAGACATAGAAATAATCTAAAGTTAAGAAAAGTGATTAAACGTTGTTTTAAATATAACATCACCTTACCATTTAAAGGTGATTCAAATTGCCTTTTACTGAAACAATGGCTTAAATCAGTCATCAATAAGACATATTGTACAGCAAAGGTCATTATTAAGGAAACAGCAAGATTCATGCTTCATCGAAAACCTAAAAGACAAGAAAACTATTGCGTCACATCCCACTGTATTCAACAATTTTAATTTATCAGAAGGGGTTTTGTGGAGATTGTAGTAATTTCAGTTGTTGAGATCATAAGTCAATTGAAGCTAGACCATCATGGAAAACCTGGAATCACTGGACGGTCGTTTCGTCCCACCACGGGGCTCGTCGGCAGTGCGCATCTACGATCCCCCACAAAAGAGATTCAAACCTAGGAACTATCAGTCATGTGCACAAGCGCTTAACCACTAGACCACTGAGCTGGCCGGCATCCAACGGTGTTAATGTCTAACTTCAACTAATCCACGAAATTAAGCGACACATCCATCATTGTCATCAGTGAGTTTCTATCTCACAACAGACCAGGTTGAACTCCACTGGTCACTGCTTCTCACTAGAACTCCAGGAAATACCTCTTGAATCCAATCACTAGTGAGCATATGTTGATTATTATCAGAAGGGGTTTTGTGGAGATTGTAGTAATTTAATAGTTGAGATCATGAGTCAATTGAAACTAGACCACCATGGAAAATCTGGAAGTACTGGACGGCCGTCTCGTCCTATTTTGCGACTACTCAGCAGCGCGCATCCACGACCCAGCCTCGAGGGGTCATATATACATAGGGAGGAGCAATCGTGATCTCAAAATTAGGGTATTAGAATATGTACGTAAATGGTTGCAGAAACAAATGACCCAATAAGAGTAGAGAATAAACATCCATCATCCTCTATTGCCAAACAAATAATTGAAACAGCTTATAAGATTGATCGTAACTCAGCTTTTGTGGTGTTGTACAAAAGTGTAAACGGGAGTATACTAAGGTTTATTGAAGCCTTAGCCATACGATAATCCGAACCCCCTTTTTATGTATTCAAAAACAGTTTGTTCTCACCCGAAATCTACCCTGGTAATATTAGCTTATGATCCAAAGTGATGTTTCAAATTGTCTTCACATTATTTCTTTATTATCCTTGTCTACTCTCACCTTCCATTTCTAGTCTAGTTGACCTTATGTTTTTATATATAAATGTTCTTAACAAGTATATTATGAATGATCAGATGGTTCGAAACGTAATGCACTAACATATCCACATAGTTCTGATAATCTTCTTATTATACTATCGAAATTTATCAAAGGGACTAATTGCTTTAAATAACATTTGTTGATTAGTAAGTGATATTATGAAAACTTATTTACTTTAATAAAATTATTGAAATGAAACCTAACGGATAGATTGCTTGTGACCGATACTAAGCTATATTTCATGTCTTCAACCATTGGTTATTCTAATAATGAGAACCTAAACCTGAAAGTCTAGACCTATTACAACACAACTCTGTACAACAACCAGTGACTTGATGGATTGATGTCAAGTCTTGTTTTAGTCGTACATATATTTCTTTTCATTTTCTCTCACACTATTAAACTTCACACGTCGAGGTAAGTTCGATCAACGAAATATGACTTAACAAACAAAAAAGCGTTTTGTAGAGTAAATAGTTTGTTTCAAAAGTTGTTTTTCCCACCAAATGAAGCATTACAAAATTAAGAAGTATCATATTGATATCTGTCTTACTATGTCACGAATGTTTTAGCAAACATGACACTAGCCAAAATTGAACATATATGCTTAGGACACGATATCCCCATTAAGTCATGAATACTATGAGCAGAGATGTATAGTGGCTAATAATGAAATCCAAAACGCGCGTTTCGTCCTATTTGGGACTCATCAGCCAGATGTATCTGAATCCCAATCATTAAGTAAACTATCCCTCCAGTTTTATAATCCCAAATGTTAAGAATAACATTGTAAACTGCTATAATTATGGTATTTCAGCACAAAATATCATACATAAACATGCCTTGAAATAATGTAGAAGATATGTAACTGAAATGATTCCTTTTGATTGTGTTGTATTATCAAATCTCACTAGTTTAATTCTAAAGCTTTCAATTTCATTCTGGACAACATGATCAAACCCCCAGTGAACAAAACACAAACAAAAATAAATAGCTTCAACTGTCTCATGATTTCAAAAAACTGTGAAAATTCTAAAATTCTCCACAAAACCCATTCTGATAATAATAATAATCAACTGCTCACTAGTGACTGACTTCAGGAAAAACTCCTGAAGTTCTAGTGAGAAGCCGTTACCAGTGGAGTTCAACCGGTCTGTTGTGAGATAACAACTCACTGAAGACAATGGTGTACGGTGGCGCAAATTCGTGGATTGGTTGAAGTTAGACATTAACACCGTTGGATGCCGGCTCAGTGGTCTAGTGGTTAAGTGCTCGCGCGCGAAGCCAGTAGGTCCTGGATTCGAGCCCCGCGTGCTGCGGGATCGTGGATGCGCACTGCTGAGGAGTCCCATACCAGGACGAAACGGCCGTCCAGTGCTTCCAGGTTTTCAATGGTGGTCTAGCTTCAACTGACTCATGATTTCAAAAAAACTGTGTAAATTGTATATCTCTATTATATTTTGAACTTAATTGAAACATATTGATAGGGAAAGAGAATGTGTATGTGTGTGTGTATATATATATGTAAGTAGGTAAAATGAAAGCTTCAAATTTATGAAATATCTAACAGTTACAGTAATCAAACCGGTAAATAAAGAAATCAAACAGACAACAATAGGGTGTCAACATAAAGAAAGTAATTCATATCACCTATGTGTACAGATATACAAATACATATATATTTAATGCTTTCAAGCTACTAAACATTCATACATACAGTTAGTCATGTTAATAAATAGATTTGCTGGGGGAAGGGGGCTGGTGGTGGTGGTGGTGGGAGGGGGGGTGGAAAGTAAGCATCTCAATAATTCACATTTCATCTTTCAAACTTCTATTTCTGTACAATAACTCTAATTGATAAATTAAGACAAAATAAAATTACATAATACATAAAAATTGAAAATAAAACATTCAAAGAAAATCAATATTTGCACAATTAAATCAACAAATTAATAAACAAAAGAATAGACAACAATAATAATAATAATAAGGCATAAAATAAAGAAAATGGTAACTGTGTCATTATTGATTTATTTAATATTGTACAGCGAATAATTTATCTTTGAAAATGGAATAGGTTGATTTTTTTAAGGGGGGGGATGAGGGAAGGAATAATAGGAAATAGTAGAAATAGATAATGAACTAATGAGAAAATACTATCACCAACAATGATAATAAGTTAGATAGAAAAAGGAAAATACAAATTGTTTGTTGCATGTTATCATTCACTCCTATTACATTCATTCAATGAAGGTGTAACTCAAACGGAACAATATTTTATACTGATGATGATGATGATGATTGTGTTCAATTGAAAAAGTGATTAACATATTGGGTAATTGATTAAAACTAGTAAAATAATTACTGACAATTAAGAAGTATTCAATAGAACACATGTTTCGTCTTAGCTTAAGATTCTTCTTCAGTAATAGTAGTAGTAGTAGTAGTAGTAGACAATTGAACTAGAATGAAGCATTTGTTCAGTAGTTATTCAACAGTTTTCACATTTCATAATGTAAACAATTTTCAAAGAAAATGACATTGTTATAATTTAAAAAAAAAAAACAAAACAACAACGACAAATAAACCGAAAAAGAACATACAAAAAAAAGAAAAATTTCCCTAAGATAAAAGAAATCAAAATAAATAGATAAGAAATGAAAAAAAAACGACAGAAGAGTGTCAATCAATAAACAGGTAAACAATAAATATTATGTAGAATTTAGATTATTTCTCTTTCAGTAAACAAAATATACACGGCATGTTACTCAATAGAAGGCCAATGATGGTGAGGTGTATAGGTGCAGGAAGGGAGGGTGGGGGGTAAACAATAAGGAGCATGATGATAGAGTACATGTAAGTGTAAATAAGCACAGAAATAGTTGTGAATAGTTTTTTTTTCTTTTTTTAAAAAAACAGACAAACAAAAAGCACATAGAATGAAATATACGATAAATAACCCCCTCTTTGAGAGGGAAAAGAAACCTCTTAGGCTTACAATGAATACACTTTAGAAATATTTCTAATAATTGAAAAAAAAAACAATGAAGCAAAATAATAAAAAATAAATGATAATACATGAAAAAGAAGCAAATTATAAATAAATATAATTAATGGATTCATCAATTGCATAATATTGCACATCATACATACACCGGATTTATTCTCTTTTTTTTTTGTTTGTTTGTTCGTGATTGCATATAGCTCACATGCACAAAAAGAAGAGAAGAAATAATGGAACACAGACACACAAAAAAAACAGAGGTGATAATACAATATTTAACTGTAGTCTATTACTATCAATAATACTATTTATTATCAATATGATTAGTAGTATTCATCTTCCAATAACTCTTGTTTATTGATCATATCATTTGACTTTTCAGTTAAAGAGATAACATGAATATTGGATGAGTGTACAGTAGTAATGGTAGTAGTAGTATTAGTAGTGGTAGTCATAGAAGTGAAAGGATGAGAAAGATGTGTAGATGTACTATTATTATTAATAGTAATACTATTAGTATTGTCATCGGTTGTGAATTGTGTATTTAACGCAGAAGTTGTATTCATCATTACTTGATTGGTACTAACATGCGTAGATTTACTGCCAACATTTAACTGTTGTTCACTAGTTAATACTGATTGTAAATTTGTATTTGGGATTTGAATAAATTTATCAGTAGTTGTAGTAGTATTAATGTTGTTATGATTATGATGAATATTTGCCGGTTCAATCGGTATAAAACGATACAGTTCTTGATTGAATTGTTCCAATTTATGTAGATATTCACAACTTGTAGCGTTGTCTATTTGATTTAACTCATTCATAGTATTATCATTATTTTTGGAAAACAACAATTTGCCAACCACTATTTGTAACCAAAACAATTTAGAAAGAAAAAAGAGTGAGACAATAAAATTAATCAATATATTGGATTGCTAGGGTCATCGATGAATCGAGTACAAAAAAAAACTTAAGAAATTCATAAAGCATTAAAGAGTCTTCATGGAAAAAAATGAACAAAACAGTCAAGCATCCATATCACAGCATCATTGGGTATGCTGTTCTACGCATCCCTCAAAACAACTATTTAGATTAGATCAAACACTTCTCGATATATCGAATACCTTCCAAATGTATATTCAAACTCTTTCATTCCTGATTTCTGGTTTGATTTAATTTGAGGTCAGTTAATTATAGAGGTGCTAGGAACAAAAGCGTTGTCAAACCCTGAATATCCGTGACATCTTTAAAATTTTTAATTATGAGTGATTTTTGAGCTTTCCGATCGCAATCTCAATGTTTTGATGGTTTATGACCAACTGAATTAGGAGCAATCATCTAAGCACATAAACCGAGAAAAATGTAAGATGAGGTAGCTAAACGGATTGATATGTGAGAACCTTCATAAATGTTATGGAATAATGGAGATAGCCCCATAAATATAGGTAATTTTGGTAAGAATAAAATTAATGTAATCTAAATTTTCTAATATAAGACTCTGATGACTTCATTTTGTGTACTTGTTCAACCGGCTACGTATGTACAAGCTCTGTATGACTCTTTGGTCAAATTATTGAATTGGTAACATAATGATTTGAAAATAGTACTATAATAATAGGTCCAAAAAGTTTGTTGACATCTGCTAATCACTACTTTTTGGGTTCAACTGATGAATACTATCTATAAAACTGAATTAGTTAGTCAGCCAGTCAGTCATTAACCATACACAGGATTATACTTAAGTCCTGAATGAGGGTGACGGAAACATTTCGTATATTGATGACACAGAACCCTAGAAATCGATCAAAATTTATATTTTGTTCGATTTGATACAATTTTAAAATAGTGAAAGCTTCGCAATATAGTTTAGAGTTTTTTCAAGTATACTAGGCATAATATTTTCTAGACTCAATTCAATAACATTGGCTAAACATGCAAAACAATAAGAATGCATAGTAGAAAGATGAGTGACTTCATCGAACATATACATGCACACAAGTTAACCCCATTACGAAATTCTATGCAAAATATTAACCAGATACTATTCGAATATGATTAATATGAAGTCATTTAATCTTCTTACATAAACAAAAAAAAATTTCTTTGATTGAAACCATGAGTCAATTGAAGCTGGACCACCATGGAAAACCTGGAGGCACTGGACGGCCCTTTCGTCCCACCATGGGACTCCTCAGCAGTGCGCATCCACAATCCCGCACCCCGCGAGATTCGAACCCCATACCTATTGGCCTCGCACCAGGCGCCTAACCAATTAGACCACTGACCCGGCATCTAATGATGTTAATGTCTAACCTCAACCAATCCACGAAATCGCGCGACCATCTTACACTGTACTGAGGTAGACACCTGTTTCTACCCGACACGGATTTGCTTTTAACATTTAACAGGAATGGAAACCAAAAAAATAGTTTATTCACCTTGAAGTTGTTGATTAACTGCTTTCATATTTTCAAATGTATCATGTAAGGCATATTTTGTTGATGATTGTACATCATCTCGATTCTGTTGTGTAGATACAAAACGACTACTTAATTCAGTAGTATTACTTCCACTCGCGTTAGTTTGTTGTTGATTATGACTTTAAATAAAAAAAAATAGGAAAAAGAGGTCAGAGGAGAAATTGTAACCAAATAAAAATACACTACATTATCAATTTAATATGAACAAATAAAAATGACTACTTGATGTGTAAATTTCAAGTTAAGTATGGGCTTACATCACGGATTAATATATCATTTGAGAGGGGAAACAATATAAAGAACCAAAGAGCAATGAACAGATGTTTCACCAGAGTATGGTACTACTTTTTTAGGATTGCGCATAAATAAAACAAGCATGGATCGAATCCTGAACTTTCAGACTTTGTAAGAAGCGTGGTTTGAAATCGCATAGTTCATAATTCAGATTTCAGTCAATTCGTGTTTTTATTGCAATAATCATTCAATGGAATTCGTAAATAGCTTCCTTACTCTCGACCTGATTAGCCAGTCACAATTTCTCATTACAATGAAACTTTGAGATGTAATCTTAAAGATTTTTATGGGTGTGTATAAGATCATTATTGGACGAAAGGTTATGGATACCTACTGTGGAGTCTCAGTCTAAGGTTGGATAAATGTCTAGCACTTCCTGGCTTACAATGTTTCCTCAATTGGTATTAGTTCATGGCGAATAATAATTTCAACAGCGAATAATTGACACAGACTACTCAATAAAACGTTTTAATCTTAGTAGACAGGGTAATTAACTACAAATCCGTGTTTTCAACATTGAGGTCCAATTATCGTGCGTCCAGGCTAACGACGTTATTTAGCCATCCAAATTTGAACAGACAAAAAGCAAGATTCCATATTGAAACCTAATAGATCAGATTCGAGTTGTTTAGTCACTTAGTCAATGTTCGATACATAAATCCTCAACGTACCTAATTTTTATGTAAATCCAAACTTATTTTTGTCAATCAATGTTCAGGGCAAAAATAGAATAGACAAATTTCCAAAGCGTGAGAGTAATGCTAGATACTCTCTCGACCAAATGGTGAATTTTCAAAGTACAACACTACTACTATAATGTATTATTTTATTGGTAAATAAATAATAACTAAAATTGGGGCATGATTGGAGGTAGCCTACAGGAAACCTTGGACATAGGTTTCGCGTTAGTTGGTATTCATCAGCAGGTCATACCTATAATCTTGAGGGGACAGATGCTCTCAGTTTCACAGTCAGAGATATTACCACTGAGCCATCCGGATCACGACTGATACCCTGTAGGATTATTACCACCTTACATTTCAATGTTGTGCACACGATATCGAGTCACGTGAATTGTATTAGGACTAAGTAGAACTTACATAATATTGGTCATTGTAAATAGTAACTGCTTTAACACAATATGAGATTTTTAATTATTGCTCGAAAACGTTCAACGCTCTCTAACTTAAGCATAGTGAAACAAATATTTATAGTAAATTTTACTCTAGTTATTGAACATCACACCATTACTATTAGTTAATACGTTCCCACAAGCTATTTTATCCTGTTTTCCATACTTATTTTCCCACTTCTTCATAATTATTGGATATGATTATTTTCACTCTTCCAACTGATATGCTGAAACCAAGTGTGAATCGATAGACATTTATATTGAGTTCTAACATTGTTCCATCATATTAGTCTTATTTATAAGATGAATTCAATAAATTACCTGTCACATAAGTTTTATTTGTCAATAATATGCTTGAAATCCATACAAAGATGTTATGAGTGTCTGTGTGTGTGTGTGTGTGTGAAAAAGAACTTATCTCATCGTACCAATTGAAGAAGCCGGAGTAAAACTAAAAAATATATTCTCTTAAATGGAATTGTAAGTCATTGAAACAATGAAGGTCAAGAGAACTGAAAACATTTTACAATAAGATTTCACGACAAGTGTAAGTTTTTCAGTTCCCTATCACGGACTGATTTTACCTATATAACTATTGAAAACCAGCAAGCACTCGATAGTATGAGACTCCTCAGAAGTAAATATCCACAATATCACATACGATCGAGTCGAAAATATTGTGTTGCATGTATTACAGCCCAATAATAAGTCAAATGCAAATACAGAAGAACTTCAACGAACATCTTAATATGAATTATTAGCATATATTAATAATATGCTAATTTGAGTGTTGGCTTAGTAGTTCAAGAATTCAACTTTTAATCAATAACTAGCAGATCTGAAACTTGGTTTACCTATTATGGTTTAAATAAGAAATAGGGTAATATGTTTAACACTCAGACATAACTCATGACTAAAAGCTGAGTAAATAAATCTATATTAGATAAATGATTTTCGACTGTATATTCATGAATTCGATTCCACTTGGTTTGCTTACAAACACATGGAAAACATTTTTAAGGCGTTATCATTCGATAAAATAGATCATATTATGGAGTTATTTGTACAGCTACCACTTTTGTCTTATTCGGATGATTGAATTGCTAGGAGATTATGTGAGTAATAACTAAATCACTATTCAATAAAGAAATATACTGATCAATATGTTGAGATAAGAAACAAACAAACAATCAATCCACTCAGGCGGCCTGCTTGAATATCTGGGCTACCTGTTCCTCCGATCTAGATATTTCATCAAGTTATCTGTTTTGTTGTTTGTTTTAGCATATCATTATGTCTATTGTGCGCACAATTTATTCAGGCGCGTTTATGAAAAGTTTACAACCTTTCGCTATACGTGATACAAAAAGGTACAATCAGAGACATCATGGTGGCTGGCAATATGCATTGAAACGAATGAACATTAATCAAATGTGGATTGCCGAACTCCTAACATCTAATCGGTCATCATTCAAAATTTATCGTCACAACAGATCAAGGTATAAGAAAAGGAAACTTGTTGAAATACTTTATGCTGAGAATTCTATGTTGTACCAATCAACTAATATATTTACTTATTTACACATATATAATCTGAATTATTTTTATGAATTAATTAATATTACCTTAATCGATAGGCTAATTTATCGGAGAATTGACGTAGTTTTATAGACAGATACCGGATTGTATCAACCATGAGTGAATAGTAAATCTATATTTTAAAGAAAAAAAATTTCAAGTAAATTCAAATAAAGAAAAGATATAGATTATTATTATATAGGGGGGTATGTAATCGCCAAATACATTTTATGAGGAAATTGGTACCAGTATACTATCCAGATGACCATGATCGACTTATCAGCCAATCAGGAGACAGTGTTCAGTTCTGAATTATTTATTTAAACACATAAGACACAAGAAGGCACCAAATAGATATACGCCACACTTCATCATTCGATTTGTGTGAGGGATGGGATACTGCACAGGTGCCCAAACCGAAGCAGGTGGTTTTCTTAGAGGGCCACACCCTGAGCCTTCTACCTAAAGTTCTAATCTATAAGGCGGTGGAGCAACGTTAGGAGATGCAGTCCCGTGGTAGCCAGTGACCAATAATTGGTTCATACGCCATTTGTTCCTTCAGGATACTGGAGCTCATTTACACCATTGGTTTGGAGTGAGAGTTTTCCAACTCCCCTAGGTGAACTTGTAGTGTCGGTTATTATGTTAAGCCCATATACCTTATTCTAGCTTTCGGACAGCCCATTCTATTCATTCCACTTGAGTCACATTCTGACCTTGTTTTTCATTCGCTTATCAATCTTGGCTGTTTTTATATGAGCGCGTAGATGTGTGTACATTTCTTATCCCATTACTCATCACATGTCTGTAACTTACTTTTGTGTAACTATAAATATTGATTAACGCTTGGTTAAATGGGAGTTGGCTTACCAGCCATCTCCACCGCACGTCGTTTTGCTTCGTTCTATCCCATTCGCTTTATATACAAAATATATGTATTTACAAGTTCATTCTCGTTATTCTACTTATTTAATTCCGCTATTGACTAACGCGATTTAAGTCGATGATTATATACGAGGATAGGCGACATATATATTTCAACAACAATCATCATTACAATCTCTTTGGAATCAGAACCCGGGCCACTAAAGTGGAGAGCCGTTTCGACAACATGGTCCGACCCAAATGACGACAAAATTCAAGGGCCCCACAGACTCTCCGTGTCCACCAGCCCGATTAAAGTGCTGGGCATTCGCTTTTCGTTCTTTCAATTTCTTTAAAAAACACCCTCTCCAGGAGAATGTAGTGAAAATCAATTAATTAACAATGAAAAAACCCCATAAAATTACACTAGAATAATCGTTTTAATTAACCCAAACATGTTGAATTATTCTTTAAAGTGAAGGAATAACACTGAAACTACATATTAACAGTTGGGTTAGCGTTGTGAGTTAGGTCTACAAACTAGGGATTTTTCTTTGTCACTAACTGATATTAGCTATAATGCCAAAGGTCAGGGTTAAGTATTCAGTGTTAAGCTGGAGTTATGAGTTGGCATTACGAATCAGGGTTAGGGTTTTTATTGAGAAATGACATCAATTGTAATACAATGATCCGGTGACACCATTGTGTTGACAAATTTAAGAAAACATAAAGCTGAGATTTATTACCAAAAGTTATAATACTATTAGCTACGCAAACACCAATTATTCACTGAATCAAATCAAACACCTGAATACATAATTTGCATTCAGAAAACGTTCTTAAATATAGTGCACTATTTACTTTTTGATTGCATAACAGATATTTCTTTATTATTTCCAAGCATACTAAGGACCAAATATTGCCAATTTTGCTTGGTTTATAATGACATAGAAGCTATTTTTCGCAGCTCTCCCTATTTTGTGAAAAACATCAACAAGGTGTCATTTTCATTCCGACTGATTCATCCAAAGTTACCAGTATAGTATAAGATTACAAAGAAACCAATATCGATTATGATGAATTCCCATTACGCTAAATTATTCAGAGAAGTAAACTATGATCACAGACTTACAATACATTTTTACTATGATTTGTGTTTTAGTGTCAAATACTTAGTTCATAGATCCTAATCTTTGTAACTGATGTATAAACGACTAAGTTATATGTATTTTCAAATCTACTGTTGTCATAATCACCACAGCTTCTATTATTACACTCGTCTTTATTATTTTAGTTAGCCAGCCAAAGAATAAAAGGATATAGATAGTTTCGTTTACTTGGTTTAAGCCAGAAATCCGAAATGTTGGCATAGTGCATGTACGTAATATGAGCCCTGACAATAAAACATTGCCGGATCATTGTGAAACAATCAACTGAATGGAATTCATCACTCTATATCAACTTCCTTGACTACAAGAAAGCGTTTGATAGCGTCGACAGAACGACACTATGGAAGCTAGTGGTTAAGTGCTCGCGCGCAAAACCAGAAGGTCCTGGGTTCGAATCACGTAGAGAGCGAAGTCGTGAATGCGCACTGTTGAGGAGTCCCACAATAGGACAAAACGGCCGTCCAGTGCTTCCAGGTTTTCCATGGTGATCTAGCTTCAACCGATTCATGATCTTAACCATTGAAATAAACTTAAGGTAAAAATTTTAAAAAATGCATCACTCACAGCAGATTCGTTTGGATCAGAACTATCCGGATCAAAATTTGGATTTAATTGGAATGATTGAGATGAAAGAATAAAATCAGTAAATTTTTCATCTGTACCATTTTGTATAATAGGAAGATATACTTTCTTAGTATTATTACGATTTAAAATAGTTTGAGAAAATTTTTGAAAATTTGATAAATTTTCCGGAGTAACTGATAACATTGTTTCTAATGTATGATGAGGTAATGGTGTAGTGAAAGCGGAACATTCAACAATTTCCGATAGACCTGGATCTGTAGTACTATCTGGTAATGTAGGTATAGTTTGTGTATTATCATTTATTAATGGTAAATTAATTGTTCTAACATCTGGATACAATCTGTTTATTGGTTCAAATTCATTTTTATTCTCTTCACTACAACTTCCATCGGATTGAAATAGCTATGATTGACAAGAGAACATAAATGAATATATAATTGTATTTTATATTGAAGAAAATTTTTTTCTTATTTTTCTAGACACATCAATTAAATCATAATGGGTTTTGTGGAGATTTTTAGAAATTTCACAGATTGAAATCATGAGTCAATTGGAGCTAGATCACTATGGAAAACCTGGAAGCACTGGACTGCTGAGGAGTCCCATACTATGACGAAACGGCCGTCCAGTGCTTCCAGATTTTCCATGGTGGTCTAGCTTCAATTGACTCATGATTTCAACATCAATTAAATGTTGTATAGAAATTGGAAAATTATTTATTTGTAAGGATTTGAATCATCCTGTTTTTGATGTTTTCTGAACTGAAATTTGATTAGTTCCCATTTTGTTAAAGTAAAATATCAACAAACTGGATGATCCAAATCTTTATGAATAAAGATGATAGTTGCTAAACAATTAATTGACATTTGAACTCAATAGAGTAGTGAATAATTGGATTGGTTTTTGAACCAATAGATAGTGATTTTTGAGTATCAACGTTACTGATCAATCTAGGTGATGTGTGTTATTAGTTGAAAAACTCATTATTACGTAACGGGTTTATTCTGGCGTTATAATGATTGAAAACGATTGACAGAAAGTCTATAATCTAGGTTTCGTGTTATTTTGTACTGATCAATAATGAAAGTGGATATAATAAACATTCAGTAACCTATTGGTGTAAAGGTTTCAATCCTGAAGGAAGAGATATTCAGGACGATGAGTTTACTCAACGAATTGATTATTTCGAATAGAGAAACATTGCATCTCTGAGCCCATATGCCAACTCAAAATCAAACGACAGGAGAGAAATTATAAACGAGGGACGCTATTAGAGGAAGTCAGTAAAGAGCTTAGTCAAGGTTTAAGGTTAAAGATCATTTCTTGGGTGAGAAAGATGAGTTTATATATATATTCCAATGATTTGTGTACTTAATTACTCCACTAGTCAATTACTGCTTCCTAATCACTTCTCAGTTAACTAACTCGTAATGCTGGTTAGATAGGAATTTCAGAAGAGTGCAACTGAGACAAATGTCGCAGATCGTAACAATCCTGGGGAATCAATTAAGCCCAATGAAATTACTCTAAAGACGTATCATCATATATAATACTTACCGGTTCTTTAGCCAGACTATTAAGACCTTGAGCAAGTTCGGACATTCGAGCTACCCAAGTTTGATAAGATTCAGCATCTAACGTAGTCAAATATTTCTGTGGATCTAAGAAGTCACAATAGAGATGGTGGAAAAATTTACAGTCATTGAAGCGGATTATTCATAATAGGGAAAATATAAATAGAAAAATAAAGGATTTGTGGAGGTTATCAAATCTCACAGTTCGGATTACGGACTGATTCTAATTAGACAATTATTGAAAGCCAGAATACACTGAACAGATGTCCATATCAACTCCCTGCCATTACTACCCAGAGTTCAAACCAGTACTCTCAGATCTAGTAGCGAGTTCTTGACCTTCAGATCTGGCCTCCAATAGTTTACATGTCTGAGTTAAATCAGTTCTTAATGTGTATTCATTTTCTAATGCTATGAGTAAATGAAGACGCTGACAAAATGCAGTCTTCTGATGACTCTAAGCAACAATGCAAACATGTTCGGCATGCGTTTCTCTCCCTCGAAATGCAAAATGTTGCTTCAGGATTGGGTTGCATCTACACCCGAACTAATGATAGGGAGGGAAGTAGTTGAGCGTTTTGACGGCTCCACTTGTCTTGAAGTTTTATCAGCTCTTGTGGTCTGGTGTGTGACGAAATCTCAGCACGGATACGGAAGGCTCGACTGGCTTTTGCCAACTTGCGTCATCTATGGCGAGGTATCCGTCTATCAACCAAAGGACGTGTTTACTGCGCAGAAGTTCCTTCTGTCCTACTTTATGGCGGTGAAAAATAGCCAGTAAGAGTAGAGGATATTCGTAGGTCACTAGTATTCGATCATAGGTGTCTTCGAAACATTGCTCGTATATCCTGGGACCATCGAGTAAGTAATGCAGTTGTTAGGAAACGGATACTAAGTAAGGATGGCAAATCAATTGATGAAGTAGTGAAAGTTCATCAGTTGAGATGGCTGGGACACGTGGTACGTACGCCCAACCACCGACTGCCTCGACGTGCGATGTCTAGTGGTGTAGGAGTAGGTTGGAAGAAAACTAGGGGTGGCCAGACCAAAACATGGCACAAATCCACAAAGTCACTGACAAGTGGACTGAACCATGTTGGCAGGTGTAGACTACCTGGTTGGGATCCGCGAGATGATAGCGACCGATGGTTAGAGACCTTGAATAACATGGATCAAAATCGTTTGCAATGGCGCAGATGCATCCTCTTTGTGTTCTCCCGAATTCTAATCTTCTGAATTCCTCATATCCCTTTCTTTTTTTCTCTCTCCAAATTTATTACACTGGATTATACTCATTGAATAACATCTTCAAACCCTAATCTTTCCGATTACTGCTTACACTCTTACCGCCTCTACTACTACGGGATTTGAATCGACAACTGCATTTCTGTGCTAATCTAATGTGGTATGGCTACTCGAACTGATGTACTTACGTACGAAGTTCTACGTTGTTAATGACTGACTGAGTAGATGACTATCTCACTCTCGACACCGTTAAACGGTCCGCCACAAAGCTTGAAAGTTTTTAACTCAATTACCAGTAAGGTTGTGGGAATGAACTCTCAAGGAATCTCATACTGAGACTATACAGCTATCTAATGTTTTCTGGTTTTCAAAATCAATCTAATATAAACTCTAATAAAACGGTTATATCAATGGCTAAAAATAAAACAACCGAGATAATTCCAAATCATTATGTCACAGAGCTGAGAATGGATAGAATTTTAAAGCATTAAAATAGGCATTTTGATTTTTAATATTACAAGTGAAAGTAAACTCAACGGATTAATCAATTTATAGTACAGTTGAGAAATATTTTTCTTTTTAAAGTAATTCAAAATTCGTTTATTTATCATCAATAGAATAAAAGGTAACCTCTCATGATAAAAGGTCATTTCTAGGTATCATTACCAAGGTTTGATTTGATAATTTCGAATAAATTGAGCATTGGGTAGATTGTTATAAATAAATAAATAAATAAATAATATATTCGTAATATACCAATGAGTAGAAAAATTAGACTTTCTGACGTTTCGTGACTCAGTGTAAGTCACTTCTTCAGAGAATAAATAACCAAATAAAAATTAATCCAAGTTCGTCAGTTAGATTTGTCTGAATATCAATGTTAATTTTCATATTGGGATTTGAATACGACACTTTTGAATTTGAATATCAATGCGTCTATCTAAAGACTATTGAATTTAAACTGACTTGATAATTCACTTTATTAGTATAGGGGTTGTGAAGATTATTACGTTTTTGATTGAGGTCATGAACCGATTGGTGTTAGATCACCTATGGAAACCTGGAAGCACTGGACGGTCGTTTCATTTTATTGTGGGACACCTCAGCAGTGCGCATCCACGATCACGCTCGCGGGATTCGAACCCGTGGATTGGTTGATGCTAGACACTATCACCATTGGATGCCGGCTCGGTGGTCCAATAGGTTAAGCGTTCGCGCGCGAGACCAGAGGTCCTGGGTTCGAACCCCGCGAGCGGGATTGTGGATGGGCACTGCTGAGGAGTCCCACAATAGGACGAAACGGCCGTCCAGTTCTGCCAGGTTTCCAAAGGTGATCTAACATCAATCGGCTCATGATCTCAATCAAAATTCATTTTATATTGAACAATCTTAGGTAGTAGCATGCTTGTTAACCTTTTTACAAACAAGACAGATGTTATTACATTGTAGTGTTTTTAGTGATTACTTATTCTCTAGGACATTATTTATGTACGATTTTTTTTACTGCTACTATTAGATCTATATCAGTAAAGACAACAACTTGCATGTCTGTCTCTAAGGGATTAATTTAACACAATAAGTTTACAAATCATTAAATTACATTCATAGTTTGTATATATTTACAAAAAAAAACGACATAGAGATTAATATATGTCTTTGTAAGTATATGCAATATGCAAAAATCATGTATACAAGGTTGATTCATTTAATAGTTAGAGTTAAATAGAAAATCACTATACACTAATCGACGAATTATACTTATCTAATATGGTTCAATCAATTAACTAATGTAATGAAAACCAAAAAAAGGCCTAGAGATAAATTTAAAAGTATAATTTTTGAAAGAAAGAAAATATGAAAAGAATATCCATTTTTGTATTAGTTGTGTTGAATCTTCCCATTGATGTTTGGGATTGTAATTGATCAATCTCATATTGTCATATGTCGTTTGGTTTTTGCCAACTTGCGTCACCTATGACGAAGGCAACATATCTGTCTATCAATAAAAGGACGAGTATACTGAGCGGTAGTTCGTTCTGTCCTACTTTACGGCTGCGAAACGTGGCCATTAAGAATAAAAGATACTCGTAAGCTACTAGTATTTGACCACAGATGCCTTAGAAATATTGCTCGCATCTGCTGGGATCACCGGGTAAGTAATAGTGAGGTTAGACGCAGGGTATTAGGAAATGATGGTAAGTCAGTAGATGAGGTTTTGAATCTTCATCGAGTAAGATGGTTGGGCCACGTGTTACGTATGTCTGAACACTGATTAAAACGACGCACAATGCTGACTAGTGTTGGGGATGGTTGGAAGAAAGTTATCCATTTAACTACTGAGTCCATATAGCCACTAGTTTGTGGTGGAGTCCCAGAATGGACATCAACTCTGTGGTCCAGGTACACCCAGCTGACGAGTCCTAAATAGGAAGAAATAAGCGTCCTGAATTCCACTGCTAGCTACCACCATATCTGCCTATGTGTACACCTCGTGAGTGTACGTAAAAGTACATATCAATTACTGGATTTGAAGAACATGTTTAACATATAAGATTTAAAAGAAATATAGATAAATAGATACAAAGACAATATGTTATTCAAGATAAATACGCATCAATCTACATTGTCACGTTGTACATCAATACACCGGGAAAAATCTGACAAGGTGGAAAGTTTGTAAATAAAATATTGATACATTACAATAGCCTACTAACACAATAAATGGCATGGATGAGATATTTGAATATCTAACAGAGGACTCTAGTTGACATAGCAGAACCTTGGAATTAAAGAAAAAAAACTAGTACAACAAAACAAGCACATAACACTCTCCTCACAAATATTTAAATGAATAAAACTGAGGTTAACCATAAAATACTTTTTGGAAAAAAGTTCGAGTTACCAATTGATTTCTTAATAAACACTAATTAAAATGTATCTGAATCATATGTTCCGTATTAATTTGAATTACAAAGCTTAGTTGAAAGAAAGAAAAAGGTGATGATCAAAGCCAATACAAATTATATTGGCAAGTTGAAGCCGGTGCAAATAAAAAGTAAATCAATCAATATTTTAAAACACTTTTGGAGTTCAGAGGAATGGTTACCTCTTCCACTTGTTTAACATTTTTGATATGTATATGTACACATACTGTTATAATATGTGACCACCTATTAGAGAGCAGCAAACTATCGACTGAACCAGTGACGCATGAAACACGTACGAGCAACCTACAGTCCTTGATAGGTCTCGCTTCCTCTCTAGCCCATCCAGTTAAGTCCAGAGCACCAATCTCAGCCTCTGCAATATGAATCATTTATTTCAAGCATACTGAGTTTATATACCAATCAAACTGACCACAACGTACCATAAAATATGAAACAACATTTGTACAATATTTAGCCAAAAGTGGCTATGAATGAGGGAGATAGTAATTAATAGACAGGCCATAACTCAAGAATGGTAAATCGTATAATAATAGTGTATATGTCAAATTAAAGCTTATAATAAGAGCGACATGAATATAAACAGTTTAGTTACATAACAATTATACAATAAAAATATACTCATACCATTGGCCCATAAATGGATCCCAAGAATTACTATTCATCATTCTTATCGGGATATAACACATACATACAGAAGAATATTTTTTATTTGATAAAATACTACTTATATGTATTTATAGGTCATACACTTGAGTTGTATAGATTTTATAGAATTTTCGAAAAAATTTCAACTTTTATAAAAAGAAATAGATGGTGACTATAAGTGGATTTCAGGACGATTGTTGGACTTATCAGTTAAGTGTACCTGCATTCCAGAGTTGAATTTCAGCTTTTATTATAAGCGATGGTAAAATAATTCAAGCAGAAAGGTATAAACAAGAAAAAAGATAAAATAACTGAAGCCAGAAAAACTGTTAGATGTAGAGAGACAAATTAGACCAAGAATTTGTTTATATTAATAAGAAGAATATCATTGTTTTAGTTATCTTAATTTATATTATTATACTGAATGTAAAATCATACACGTTTGGTAGGTCCTAAATATTCATATAAATTCATCGGTGGATAATAATGAATAACATTGTCTTTAATAATCAGCGATAATTGAATTTTCACTAATTACGTTTGAAATATGGGTCAAGAAAGTAATTGTATCAGAATAGCAGTATTCATTGTAAATAGTTTACGATCTAGTTGAGCTATTTACTTATCCTCATAAAACGTACGCTTGATTAATGCAACTAGACAAAAAAAAGCTTAAAGACTGTCTAGGATATTGTATTACCAACAGGTGAACTCTATTAAGTCCTCTACTAGATTAACGCAGAATACGATATACAACTAACGGTACTCAAACGTATAGAACCCTACAGTCGCAAAATCAGAAGATAAAAGAAGTAATTGTTGGGTAAGAATCAAAAATGTAAAGAAAAATGTGGGTATTTATGGTTATTAGCGTTAGCTATAACATCATTATAATTCAGCCTGTTCTCAAGGAGGCAAGTTATGCTGCTGTTCAATCATAGCATGCCAAGTTGGTATTCTAGAAAGCTCCATTAGGTTCCGATTAGATGGAAACTCTTAGGCTCCTTTAGGGTTCCTGGAGGCTCCGTCGTGCTTTTCAAAAGTCCTTCCAACAAATTCAAGAAACAATAACTATTCATGTCCATTTACTTTTATCCAGACTGACACAAACAGTGATATGTAGGTGGGGAAAATTGAAGCTAAAAGTCATTATAAGTGCGAAACTCCACTGTTTGTAGTTTTATGCACCAACTGATGCCTGCGTGGAAGACTGACGTTTATTATTTATTGGCTTCAATTTACGATAGATACTTCGCTACTATTTGCAGGTATATAAGATTAAATAGTGAACAACTTTCTCTCCTAAAGAATGCTTTTATTGAGAGAACTCAGTTTTATTTATCTAGCTTGGGTATTAGCCAAAGAAGAAATGGGAATGACATATAAAGATAAATAACAAATGATCTATGTTATGAAAACATAATTTGTTATTTTCTTTTGATCGTTCGAAGTTCAAATGTATAATTAAAGAATTTGAGTAAAGCGTTTGCGGAGATGATTGAATCCTACAATTCACATCAATGAACTAACCTTAATTAGACAACGATTTATAGGTTAAGCGTTCGCCTCAATAAGTGAAGTTCCTGGGTCTGACCCTACCAGAAGGTCGCACAATTACCGACAGTCTCATAAAAGGACAAAACAACTGTCATATGCTCTTTGTTTTTATGGTTGTCTAGCCAAGATCAGTTCGTAATGTAATCTATACAGAGAAAATTGTTATAAAAATTCGATATTGTGTACAAAGAGTTCCGTGCTGTAACGAAACATATTATTGAATAAATGGCTATTATTAAAAAATATCAGAATCTTTGAAATATGACAACAATGAACTGGTCTTACAATTTAATGTTGGTTAAAGATAATTAGAGTAACTTTACGGTTTAAAGAAGGTACATTGAGTAGAGAGTAGGTGGTGACATTCAAAAACCTATAGACTTACCATTCTGATCATTAGAACGAGAATGCTTTCGACGTGTATATGTTCGTGAATCGATTTCATTTGATTTTTTAGATTTTATATCTTCATTATATTGCGATAAATTTGTTGTACGATTATCATCATATGAATTGTGGAAATGATCAGATTTCTTTCCTCTGTGAAAAAATATCGATAATGAGTACATAGCTAAATAAAGATAATGAAATACAACCAACTAAATAAGCGTCGAGAAGCAATAAAACATGACTCCAGAGTATTTTAATGATTATTTATATGTTGAGGACATCAATGAACCGGATTGTAGGACCTAGAATCTATTGGTTCGTAAATCCTTCAGATAATCTAAATTGAATGGTCACTTACGTTTTAAATAAGTCTGAATCCCATAGGTTACATTCATCACAACATGGTCTGAGTTGGGGTACGATTAAAATCCAGAGAACACAGGAGAGATGTTACGTTCCGGTATGGAGTTCTTCAAGAAGTCTTGGGTCCGATTCCTGATGAGGTCGTGGTGGGGGCACTGTCGATGAATCCCATAATAAGAAGAGATATCTGTACGGTGCTGCATGATTTTTAGTAGTACCTCAAATGGGATCGACTTATGACTAATGCACACTACAGCTTAAAATAGATGAAAAATATAGATATGTCTCATGTGTGAATCATGGATAAATCATCTACTACTGATCTTAAAAAGACTTGACTTTAGAAAGAAAATCTTACAGGTATGTTGAACTGGAATTCTGTGGCAACGGCTTGTTCGTATTCAATGTTTTCATTAAATAACTGGTTTCAATAAAACCGGAATCAGTTTGATCATTCAGTTGTTTACGGGATTTGCAAACAATTCGATTTGTTAAACTGTGCTCAGTTCCGGAAGATATAGATGACCATGAACGAACAGGAGATGCTGGATCTGGTACAGATGCTGATCCATGTGAGTAATATCGAGATTTTCCACGACTGCATGAATGTGTACGAATTATATTTCGGGATTGATCAGGTCGAGAATAGTGAGTAGTAGGCTTATAGACAGAAAAAACAAATAAGAGAATTTTGAAAGTAAATAAGCGAGCAAAAAATTACTCGGTTGCTTCTATTAAATTTCACTCGGAAGTAATCAAACTGAGCTCTAAGGTAGTTTTAACACTTTGGGCTAAATACATTCAATTACATCGTTGATGCATTTGATCCAACAAAGTAAAATAATTGTTGAGTCGTGCTCCTTGGCAAGAAAAAAGAGTTGTTATTGTTGGAATTAGGTAATATCATATGGCGTACATTGCAGATTGATCTCAGTTAGACCACCGATGAAAATCAAGAAGTACTGAACAGATGTTTCGTCCCAGTATGAAGATTATCAGCAATGTTCATCCATGATACTACCGAGGACCGAAACTAGGGAGTCCAAATCTCGTAATGAGTGGTCGAACTTTGGATCACTGGGTTGGAGTTCGATGGTTTATATTTCTAGCTCCAATCAGTCCACGATATTATACAACTGTCTTTCAATGTTATTGTTGGGTAACTGCCTTACATATAACATGGTTGAAATCCATTTAAGGTTGTTTAGTGATAGAATCCCAAAAAAACCACCAAAATTAATCACTAATGAAGACATAGAAATTAGTATGCAGTATGTTTGTTGACTCATATTTTGCATCATGATCTGACTTTAGTTAGGGAACCACTAAAAACCAGAGAGAAATTATCCTAACAAACGCCTTATACTAATATCCCGTAGCTTTATTGCTTTGAGCTACAATACACCTGAAAGTCTCCATCATTGACTGACATCAACTTGAGGAACAAATGAAGTTACGGAGAACCAAACAGCTATCTAACCTTAGTCTTGAACTCCACAGTTATGCATACCCACGCAATCACATGGTAGACTGAATCTAAAACCTTTAAGATAAAAGACGAGAACGATACCATCAAATCGGAGTGTCCGGTGGTTCAAATATTTCAAATCTATTCAATTCACGATCTTCCTTCAGTGCTATCTGTTGGTAGGTATCGTGATTTCCTGAAGTTGTTATAAAAATCCGTGATTTTTGGAATCAGTTATATAGGTAAACTAGTGGTCATCTGTTGATAACACTGGATGAAGACCATGCTTCGTTTTTTCGGTAGTGAAGTTGGAAAATGTCGAACATTTAAGAATGACTTAGTTGTATTTGGGTATGCCTGGAGTTTAATCTGTCATGAGAGTTCGAATGAGCGCAATTGGTAAGTCTCAAACTACGGTGAAAACTTTACCTTTTCGAATACGAACAAAAAGCCTTCTTCAAAATTGACCCATCTCCGTTCTCTTCTATTACATCCCTGTTAAAACAATACAACTGAAGTGTTATGGTCGTGTGGCCGTCCTATGAACTAGAAATGGATATTTAACAAATTAGTGTTCAAGTCTATGTCTACTAAGGTAGAATGGTTTAAATCTACGGAACAACTTGAAATCAATAGACTTTTGTTTATCTGCTGATTCTTTCAGATATCACCAGTTTCAATTTGAATATTGTGAAATAAATGTAAGTACAAATTCACTTGGTGTTGTTTTACTTGTATCTTCCTATCATTATTTTGGACTGCAATTGATCAATCTCTTGTTGGCATATGTGGATCCTGTGCGGATTGCATCGATATAGCCTTAAATCACAAGCTTTTTTAAGCAAAGATGGATAGTGGATAGCAGTGGAATCCAGGATGCGCGTTTCTTCCTATTCGGGACTCGTCAGATGGATGGTGGCTACCAGGACTCAGTAGCTAAGTGGATAATGCGATGGCATTTGAAGCGAACGGTACTGGGTTCGAGTCCCAGAATGAACATCAACTCTGAGATGCAGGTACACCCGGCTGACGAGTCACAAATAGGACGAAACGCACGTCCTGGATTCCACTGCTATCCACTATCTATCTCTGCTTAAATGTAAGTATATTACAAAAAAAAGGAGTTTTAATATTTTATTAAAAATAAACACTTTATTCAATCATTAATAAAAGATTCAACATACTATAGAATTCAGTCTTGTTAATAATTGATTCATAGTATTTGGATCACGAAATGATGATGAAAATGGTGTAGTAGATGTTATTTTTGTACAATTACTATTGTTATTTATTGACTGTACATTTGTAATTGTTGCATTATCTCGTTTACTAATTGTTATATGACAATGATTTCCAATAGTCTCAGATACATTGAATAACTGATTCCCAGTTGTAAATGGAATGGCATTATTATTATTATTATACAAAAGTTTTGAATGTTCATAATTTTCGGAATCTCTTCGTTTTATATAAGTATTATAGGCGAAATGATGATGATGTTCATTCATGTTGTTATTATTCTCGTTATTTAAATTATGCATCAGATCAAAACGTTCAATGTTCTAGGAATCATAGAAAAACAAACAGACAAATAAAACAAATAGATGAACTAGTAAACAACACTGCTGAGGAGTCCCGCAGTAAGACGAAACTGCCATCCAGTGTTTCCAGGTTTTCCATGGTGGTCTAGCTTCACTTGACTCATGATCTCAACCATTAAAATAATTTTATAGTTGAATTCATGAGTCAATTGAAGCTAGACTACCATAGAAAACCTGGAAGCACTAGACGACCGTTTTGTCCTAGTATGGAACTCCTCAACAGTGCGCACCCACGATCTCACCCCCACGAAACTCACGAATTCAACTATAAAATTACTAAAATCTCCACAAAACCCCTTTTGGAAATAAACAATAGAGTATGGTCAATTTTGCTTACTGAAAGACCGACATAAAATCTCACATTTATATTGGTTAGTTTTATAATACAAATCAAAATAACGTAATAAGTGTATAGGTGGTCAAAAGAAACAGGAATAGCACAAATCAAATAACTAAGTAAATTATTTCATGTTTAAAAGTAAAGAAAGAAGAAGTATAATAATCAATACTACTGTTAAGATTAAGCAAGAAGGAGGAATATGAATGCGTAATTGACTGTATAAATTAGTTAGGAAAGATTATTTAGTTAGTTGATTTAAACATATGTTTGTTGGACTATCCAGAACTTAAACACGGATTACGAGAATATGTATAGGTATTATTAATATTATATAGTAGAAGTCAACAGGAAATCATGAATGTAGACCTCGTGTTGGTTGGAACTTGCCAGTAAGTTATAATAGGAATCTTACAGAAAAATAATGCTTCCTTTGGGATTCGATCAGCACTAGTAATGGGATAAACATGGCATTGATCACTATTCAGTGCTCAACTAATTATAAATATCTTAGCAATACAGGATTTTACTTTGGGCTTGAATAGCTTACTGATGATGTCTTAGTGTCAAACCGGAGTGATCTGATCTTGAATACATCAGGGTATATCAGTTTCGTCAAGATTGTAGGTACGCCATGGTGGTAAGTGCATACTAATATGAAACCTAGGTGGACTAGGGTATTCTTTCGATTATTTCCAACCAAACATAGTGCACTCGACAAGTCACTTAGACTGGCGGCCACATTGCACAGAATTCGACCAACATTAAGGGATTAGACAAATCTGACATTACTCAGTGATCAATCAATGTAAGTAATAGTCACCACAAATCAACATAAGTTGAAGAACCACTTCATTTCAGTTTCGAACTTCTCTATACTGCCAAGTCAACACATTTAAGTCTCTTAATGAGCGCGTTACATTTCGATCAATCAGTCGAAATGTGATGGCTTAAATTTACAATACCACTAAGTTTTAGATATATTGTGACGATCATTTAATTAAGTCAGTTATGAATACCTCACTTATGATATGTTTGAACTCCACTGGTTGTGATTTCCCACTCGAATTTGGGAGTCGATCAATAGCGGTTATACGATTAGAGCATGGTTGACCGGTTTCATGAATTTACATAGATTGACACAGATTTAAATATCACTAGATTAAAGGAGAACTGGACAGCTGTTTCGTTCAGTGAGCATACACTATCCTACTAAGGATTGTTCATTTTGATACAGTTATTCAACTCGTTTTTTGTAATGGACAAATAGTGTCACAGTGAAATGTTAGTGAAAGTCTTACCTGATTGTTTAGATCTAATTCATCTGTCAATTCTCTGTTGTACTTCAAAATATGATTTGAACATGAAGATGATGTAGATGTATTGTTTGATGAAGAAGAGTTTGAAGAAGAACTATCAGGCAATTTTAGACTAACCGTTGTTGGAAGAGAAACTCCATCATTAAGGGGAACTTGATAAATACATACAAAAAACAGATATAAATAGTCACATCATAGAACGTGAAAGCAAAATTATTTATGAATAAAATAAAACTCAGTATCAAACAAATTAGATTAATAATTTTTTTCTTTAAAGAAAAAAGGGTAACGAAGTAAAGAGATCAATTCTTCATGACATAAAGTTCAACTGAACAGGATACATCTGTGTATATAAAAACAAACGTTTTAGATTTTTCGTATTGACAAAATAAAATTTGACAGAAGATAAACGTTATCAGTGGTCATGAGTGCGGTAATCACTTCCCGGTTCCCCACACCATGGAAGGGTTCTTCTAGAGGTACCTAAAAAGGAAATAGGATTAAAGGCGATCTTAGTGACCTGAGAGCGTGGCCTCAGTGCCCAAGGGACAACTGCTTGAAGTCAGTTACACACGACCTTTTAGTGGGTAATTTTTGTGTTAGCTCCGTACTTGTTGAAACCTTACCGCCGGAGACAGATATCCGTGGGATAAGGCGAGGTGTGCATTTTTTTAGGGTCGACCCTTTCTAACCCCACCCCACGTTGTGGGAAGGCAGCATCGCTGTCATGCTGGTTGTCTGAAGGAAACACCTTACTGCAGTCACACCTCTGTACAGTCAGCAGTACGACTTCGCCTTCGTACCTTGGGTTTGCTGCTTTTAATCTTATCGTTCTTCAACCGACCTGCCTGGCATGGTAGAACCTTGAGGAATGATTGTTCTAGCCAATATAGCTAGATTAGTTCATCGCGATAGGCAAAACGGACCACCACGTCAAGGTAGCAATTTTAAACTATGAGATTAAAATCGCTTCATATCTTTCTATGAACTAATTCTTTCTTCCTGTACTACATCCTTATATGCAATCTTTGTTTTATATATTACCACCATTGAATTAACTACTTCTATGAATACGGTGTTCATCTTGCTGTGCTAATGAGGTATGGCAACGTGGACTGATACATATATGTGCCTGGTCCTACGTTGTAGCTGACTGACTGACTGAAGCCTCATCAGCATTATCTTTATAAACAATAATTGTCACTTTGGATTGAAGATCATGTTTTTACCTTGTTATTGATACATTGAAAGTCATTGTTTACGAGTTGTAAATTTGGTTTATATAACTTCAACTAAATATTACTATATTTACCAAAGACTATGATAAAATGTAACATCAAAACTCTAACAATACTCTGTCTGGAAAAAATGTGAAACATTAATGTGCAGTAAGATATTTAACTATAGCCAACTACTGTAACATAATGAAAAAGATTCTTTTTTGTATTATACCAGCATGATAATAAAGCATTGTTTCGACTGCTGTGCAGGTAATAAATAATGTAACCTATTGATCGAATATAGACTTATAGGCAAAGTGAATAGATGTAGTCGGAAGGATATCGTGGTTAACCTAGGTTTCGTGCTAGTTGATACTCATCAGTAAAGTATCTATAATCTTAAGAGAATGGATGTTTCCGCAACCTGAGTTTTGAACTCGGGTTTTCCCAGTCCACAGTTTAAAATGTTATCATTGAGTAGTTCAGGTAGATACTGATCCCCTATATGATTGAGATATTTATATCGATAACCCATTGAGTCGTGACCAATGATATTTTTGCTAAGTCCTTGAATGTTGACTATTAGTCAGTGATCAAACAATGTTACTAGGTTCAAATACTCGTCTTTGAGCCAAATATTATTTGTGTAAAAGTTACTCATACTATCCGGTACCCTACACTGAAATATTTAGGATAGATTATGAACCTGAAACCAATAGTTTGAAAGCTAAATGTTTTGACCAATGAGTCAATTAGTGTTCCATAACCAATAAGGTATGGATATAGTACAAAGTTAGGAAATCCAAGTTCAAATATTTTAATACATGTCCATAAAGCTACGAAAATGAACAGTAAAGATTGCAAGTCTCCAAAGCAGTACAAAATTTCGAACGCTACTTGAATGAGAATCACAAAAGAAGAGTGGAAAGAACATTCCTTTATAAAAAAAACGTAGAACATTGTATTGACAATATTAAATTATATGTAGTTCATGGAATAAAAAAAGGAAGATCTAGATCATCGTTTTATTATACTAATTAAAATTACAAATATGTAAGCTATATGTTGCCTAAAACAGTTTACCAAAATAACAGAAAAGATTTAGCATGACATAAATTATTTGTTATTTGGATGAATTGAACAATCAATAAAATATTTCAGACAAAATTAAGAATTTATAGTAAATTTGAAAGTGAACATTAACACCAAGATGTGGCAGGTATATGCCATTGACAAATCTTACATGAAAAGAAACGAGCATCTTAGATTTTACTGTTAGACACTATTCAACTGTGCTTAGAAACATTTATGACTTGGTAGAAATATCGAGATAATTCACTTAGAATATTTTATTTATTTAAACACATAAATATTGGTACAGGAGGGCACCAAATATATATGCGCCACACAAAACAATGAGAATTTGCAGAAAAGGAAAAAAAGGTAAGGAGCGTAAAAACGATAACGAATAGATTAGTGTAAGGTGGTGTAATAATAATAATGGGGGAAACAGAAACGTACACTCAGAAAAGATCTTTCAGTTAAGGAAGAAGCAACCACTTTTTATGAAGAAAGTAAAATGTTACAGCAGCATCGCTACTGGCTTCTATTCTGAGCCATATCTGATAACGTCTCTACTCGAGAACGTTTAGATAGAACCGAATTTCCACCATAGACGAGCTGCTGTATAAGTCGAAAAATAAGGATAGACAGAGTAGGAATAAAAGAGAGTGAATAAATGACATAGTAAATAATAACAATAGTAATAATAATAATGTGAATCGTTTGATTAATAGTTGTAGCAAGAAAAGTATTTTCCATAATTATCGACAGTTCATCATATTTGTGTGCGGGCTGTGATACTGCTCGGATGCCCAGACCGAAGCAGGTGGTTTTCTTAGGGGGCCACACCCCGAGCCTTCGACCTGAAGGTCTGATCCACAAGGCAGTGGAGCATCGTAAGAAGATGCAGTCCCATGGAAGCCGGTGACCAACAATTGGTTCATACGCCATTTGTTCCTTTAGGATACTGGAGCCCATGTACACCATTGGTTTGGAATCCGGTTAAAGCGCCGGACATTCGCTTTTCGTCCTCTCAATTTTGTAAACAACACCCCCGCCACGAGAAGGCATTGAATAGGACTTCCCTGGCAGAGGCTGTATACTTAGAATAAACATATATGACCGATCAATTTCAGTCTTTAACATCAAAAAACAGGAGAACTCAAATGTGGTTACAAATGGAATAAAATTTCATTTAGTTATTTGAGAGTGTTAAGTCTATGGTGGCCTTGGACCTTAAATGTACACTCCCTATTGGTCGATATTTGTTTCACTTGTTAAATATTGTGTAAATGTTGTTTTCTATTTTATGGTACGATGTGGTTTGTTTGTTTGGTATATAAATAGAGTATGTCTGAAATATAACGATTCATAACTCAGAGGCTGTGACTTGTGTTCTTGACTCAACTGGCTAGGACAGACAGCGAGGCAGGGCCAATCAGGGCACTAGGTCGTCCTTACGTGTTTACGTGTCACTGGGATCGATCGATAAATACGCTGCTTATCAAAACCTGCAGTCACCCGTTACAACAGAGAGAAACAAATATTGTTAGTATAAAATTTCAATAATCCAGTATTTCAACTCAACTAATCAGTCACAAACAAGACAAAGAATTATCAACCTTTCATTATTGAAATTATTTCAAAATCATTCTAATTTATTTATCCATGCTTAACTGCTGTGAACACCAAAAATAAAGTGTAAACTTATGATGAAAAAGGAAATATTCTTCCTGAGAGGTTGTTGATAGAGATTCTTGATAAAGATTCTAGGGGCTAATTGATACAGTGTCTCATACTGAAATGAAACAGTTACCTAGGATACCTTTTGATTTTCATTAATTCTACTGTTTCTCCTATCTTAAAATTCCAGTGTAAAGCAGTCAATGAAAATCATGATCAAATAAAGATTTCTGTCATAATCATTATTAGAATTTTATTCCCAGAATGGGGGTTTGCGGAGATTTTAGTAATTTAATAGTTGAATTCATGAATCAACTTAAGCAACGCCATCATTGAAAACCTGGAAGCATTGGACGGCAGTTTCGTTATAGTATTGAACTCCTTGGCAGTGTACATCCCCGATCCCTCACCAAAGAAACTCGAACCCGACATGGATTGAACTACATTGGTCAGGGCTTCTCACATTAACACCATTGGATGCCTGTTCAGTGGTCTAGCGATTAAGCGTTCGCGCGCGAGACCTAAGGGTCTGGGTTTGAATCCCTTTGGTGAGGGATCGTGGATGTGCACTGTCAAGGAGTCCAATACTATAACGAAACTGCCGTTCAATGCTTCCAGGTTTTCAATAGCGGTTTAGCTTAAGTCGACTCATCGATTCAACTATTAGAATTTTTACTCATTATTCAAAGTCTAAAGATGTTTATGATATGAGTGTTCAAATAGATGTGATTTATGAGAAGAGATAATTTTGAATCTATCATGTTATAATTAAATAGGTTGTATAAAGTATTATTCATATACAACTAAACATATTTGGGATTAGAAAGGAATATACAATATGAACGTATTCATCAAACATAGTTGACAAGTTATTAATTGTATATACAGCCTTTATTAGAAAAAAATTAGAAAAACCATCTTTACAAGTAGAACATTGTCAATAATGGAAACACATAGAGAACACCAAAGCTGAACATAAAATATATATGTATCAGTTGAAAATATGGAAATTTATCCTTGAAAAAAAGGCACACAGTTGAAATTTATTGTTTACATGAAAAAAAAATCTCCAAAAGATTAGAGTTGTGACAACTCAGGGGAACATTATATATGTTGATAAATAGAGAGAGAGGAAAGGAGAGGAGAGGAAAACAGAAAACCAACAGACAATAAGCAAATATTCAATT